TATATATATATATATATATATTGTTCTACAGGATTTATATAGTGCCAACAGTTTGGGCAACTCTTTTCAACATACAGGAAGACAGTACAGTTACAATACAATTCAAGACAAGATGGTTAGGAGGGCCTTGCTCATGAGAGCTTACAATCTAAAAGGGAGGGGTGGGTGATACAAACAATGGTTACGTAACAGAGTAGCATTTAACTTGCACTTTGTCCCTATATTACATACTATGTAATATATTACATTATACATTATGTCACACAGTGCCCTTATTTTAACATTCTTGCCTAATTGCTATACTGATGGAAAACATGGCCATGGCTTTCTGCTTATATTACCTGTTTGCAGAATAATACTCCTACCAGTCTGTAGAAATGTACACCAATTGTGCTCCATCTTACCAGCAAGTCCTTAAACACAATTCCAGTAACTTAGCAGGAAAAGAAGAGACAAATGAAAGTCAGATGATAAAAGAAAGGGCACACAAATGTTCCATGTTGTCTTTATTCAGTGCTGATGCTGCCTTATCTGTAATATTTTCTAATTAGGCGCACAGAGTGGCTGTCCACCCTTAAAGCAGAGCTGCTATTGCCAGGCTCGGACCCTGTGCTCCTTGAAGGAAGGGGTTTGTCTCCAGAGGGGATATTTTCAACAGGTGCAATGTAGTGTCAAACGTGCTGAAAGGGGACTCAATGGAAGCAGCTGCATTCGTGTTTTTCTTTTAACTTCCCTCCATTGAGTAACAAAAAGAAAAAAAAGAAACGTTCATTGATAATCTCGAATATATTTGACAGCAATAGGGATATAACACGTAAGCATGAAGTTTTCCTTCCCCTGATTTTCAATGAACCTTTTCCTGGCCGTATGCTTTCATAGGTAAAATGTCTAAACAGCCCGATGTGGATACATGATAACTCCATACTGGATTGTGCTTGCCAAGAGTCTCAGGGTCGGGGACATCTGACACCAAATCGTTTAAAGATCAATTTCTGACTGGGCACTTTTTTTCACTGCATCTCCTGAAAAGAAGAAAATCATAAGTCAGGTCTTTTGTCCATCTACGTGTCAGATGATTGTAGACCTACTTACAGATAATTAGGAAATGTCAGCTGCTTAATAGTCTAGAGGAAGTCCATGGCACAATGCACAATGTCACACTTTTCTTTTAGAATGACTGAGGTGACAGCAGATGCTTTTATTCCCAACACTTTACTATTATCAGCCATCCATGTGTACAAATGTAACAGTTCATTGATTGCGTGTGTGTGTGTGTGTGTGTGTGTGTGTGTGTGTGTCTGTGTCTGTGTCTGTGTCTGTGTGTGTACATACATAGGTAACATTTAATTTATGGCATTTAAAAAAGAGAGAGTGTGTGTGTGTGTGTGTGTGTGTGTGTGTGTGTGTATGTACATACATATGTAACATTGCATTTAGGTCATTGAAATTAGAGTATGTCTGTGTGTGTGTGTGTGTGTGTGTGTGTGT